AGGCGGAGGTACGGTACAGCGGCCCGGCGTTGGTGCGCGCCACGGAGCGCGGAGGAGCCGCCTCAGTGCGGACGTTCGGGGCCGCAGCGCAGACCTGGGGCGTCGGCGTCCGCGTCCGCAGCCGGCCGGGTGTGGCGTCCGCTCTCCCGCGGATGCTGCCGTCGCGAGTCATGGGGCTCGCCGTCCGGGTCGTTTATTGGTAAGCGCGGCGGCCAGAGGTCCCCTCCGTGACCCCCGCTCACGCCCATCCTCCGTCCGGCCCGAGCCGGGGCTGGGAGCGTCGGGGGAGGCCGCCGGCGGACCGTCTGTGAGAAGAGGGGTTCCCGGGTGGCGGGATGGGCTGGAGTGGGCGCGAGGACCGGCCATCAGCACAAGGCGTTAACCCCGGTCCCCGGGTTGTGACAGGCTGCACACCTCAGCTTATGAAAGGTGGAGGTGACACGCGTGGGTGTCCCGTGTTAAACACCCGACTCGGGTTCACGTTGATGAAGGGGTGGAGGTCAGTTTTTGTAATGGGACCTAAGCCTGCGTCCCCCCTTAGGTTTCCCCTCCCCCAGTATCCTGAACAGTCACTGGGTGGGGACGCCTAGAGTCGAGAAGGTTCGAGAATGTTCCTGCCAGTGTTTGGGAAGGAAAGGTCTTGAATGAATACATTCCGGGCCTCTGCCCACTGAGTGCCCTTGGTCACTAACCCTCCTTCTTTTCTGGCCTCAGTTTCCCCGTCTGTAGCGAGAGGGAGGGTGTTATTAATAGTTACCCTCGGTGCAGTGCTGCATGTCGTCGCTGAACACGTTTGATCCAATTCTCCCGCTAGAGGGAAAGACTTAGGAAGGCAGGAGATTTTCTCGGTTTCGTTGACTGCTTTGTCCCCCAAGAAACCTAGGCCCTTGGTAAATACGTGTTCGGTGAATTTCCCCTCCCAGAAACCCCTTGAGGGAGGGGAATTTTAGCCCCATCTTAACAGATGATGAGACAGGCTGGGTGGGAGTGGGGCACGGCAGGTCAGCAGCATGGGGTGCAGACTGCAGGTTATGGAGGTTACTGGAACCCGGCCTCTGGCCCCACCGTCTGTGTAATGCCCAACCGGGCTCTGATCCATCCCGGCTTTAGGAACGTCTGCTTACTCGACAATGCAAAGGCTGGAGTGACATTTTCAGGCGCTCACGAGGCTTCTGCACCAGATTCCAGTCCCATAATAGCCTGCTGTGGGGGTTGGGGAAGCTTGTATTTCATCCAGGGGACTGGGAAAGGGGTTCCGAATCCAGGAAAACAGGGTTTTCCTTAGGCCCTGCAAGTGCTGTGGGTAGGGATATTATTCGTGCGGTTCTTATCCTAATCCAGTTCTTTTGGTTCCCCTCCCTGTCGTTGCCTTCTCTGTCTCATACTTGTGGTCTCCTCATCCTCTGCTTTTTCTCCCTCTCCCTTCTCTACCTTTTCTCTCTCTTGCTCGCTGTGGGTTTTCTTTGTACATCTCTGTGTGTGGTGTCTACCTCGTTTCTGTGCCCCACCTCCTCCCATCTCTGGGTCTGGTGTGTGTGTTTCTTTTCTCTTGAGGATATCTGTTGCCTCGTCTGTTCTGTTACTTGTGTTTTTCTTTATCTTTTCCTGCCCCTCCTTCACTTCTCCCCTCTGCTGCCTGCCTCTCCTCTCCCTGGATGCCCACCTGCCCACTCTCTGGACTCTCTCCTACCAGTGGCGCTTGAGGCTACAAGTCCAAGGTAAGCAGAGTGGCCTACCACGAGGCATCCCTGGAAGGTGGGGGAGGTGTAGCGTGACCCCTGCCGTGACGTCCCACCCTATTTTCAGTATCTTCAGCTCAAGAAGAAGTTAGAAGATGAGTTCCCCGGATGCTTGGATATTGTGAGTCTTGGGGTGGGGAAGAGAAATCACACATTGTCAGTTTGTCCCTCAGGCCTGGACGGCACTGGGGGTGGGTTAGGTTTACCCCTACCCCCTTCGCCCATGTTGTGCATTCCCTGGGAAGGGGAGGGTATCTCAGCCTCTCCAACATCTCCCCCTCTCAGTGCGGCGAGGGGACTCCCCAGGCCACCGGGTTCTTTGAAGTGATGGTAGCAGGGAAGTTGGTTCACTCCAAGAAGGTACGTCTGTCTGTCTGTCTGTCTGCCTGTCCTTTCTCATTTTTGAGCTAGCATGGGATTGGGGCTGAGGTTGCTGTCTTGGTCCCAGCTCACTCCTTCCCTTTTCTTCCCCTCCTCAGAGAGGTGATGGCTATGTGGACACAGAGAGCAAGTTTCTGAAGCTGGTGGCCGCCATCAAAGCTGCCTTGGCTCAGGGCTAATGTGCCGTGAAGGCAGAGGTGAGGGGGACTGACTGAAGTGGGGATCCACCCTTTAGATCTTCCCCCTACCCCATGCACTAATTCCCCATCCTAGGGTGGAGAATTTGGGAGATGGGGATATGCCAGGTGTGTCTCTAGAGCGGGAGGATGGAAATTAGACCTGGGGTGGTACAGGATGGGGTCATAGGGCTGCCCTAAAACGGGTCTCCTTGTTTGGGAATGAAAGGTGCTAAGAGACCCAACAACTCAGAATCTGGAACTTTGGGTCTTGGTTTCATTGCCAGGAAACAGTTCCCAACCCACTGGGCTGTGTAAGTGTCAGTGCAAATTCCCAGCGTGTTTTGAGACAGAGTTCCCATGCTGAACACTTTCAACTACATCACTAATTATCAGTCTCTGAACCTGAGATCTGGTTCTGGGAGCATTCAAGAGTTGACCCCAGGGCTGGCCCGTGGCTCACTTGGGAGAGTGCAGTGCTGATAACACCAAGGCCACGGGTTCGAATCCCACATAGGGATGGCCGGTTCGCTCACTGGCTGAGCATGGTGCTGACACCACCAAGTCAAGGGTTAAGATCCCCTTACCGGTCATCTTTTAAAAAAAAAAAAAAGAGTTGACCCCAACTCCAGAAACACCCTCTTTAGAATTGTCCAAGAATGCTCTAGAAACAAAAGCTAACTCTACAACGGATCACCTGCTCCAAAACTACCTTAGAACTAACTTCTAGCTTCCCTAATACAGTCTAGAATCAAATGCAATACTAGCTCCCGACACACTGTAAACCTTGGCACCCCTTCCCAACGCAGCACTTGAGAAGTGTGAACCAGCTCCTAAGCACTGGAATTGACTACTAGTTCCTAGATCTGACTACTAGTTCCTAATGTGCTCCGAGTCAAGTACTAGTTTTCAACATAGTATATTCCAGAACAAGTAGCAATTTCTGTGTTAACCCTCTGGAACATGGAACTGCTTTCTACTACCCTCTGAACCTGATTTTCAGTTTTCAGGCCATATGTTTAATGTGTTCCAGATGAGCTCCAAACCTAACCTACTTTAGAAGTGGGCACCAGTTACTGACCCAGTCTAGAACTAAGTTCTGGTGTCTGACACGTCAGAGCCTAAAACCACTTACTACCACTCTCTTAAACTTCAGTACCAGTCCCCATTTCATGGTAATCTATAACCGAGTGTCCCATCCCAGTACCTGTTCCCAGTGTGCTTTTTGCCGGAAGACTAGCCTCAATTGCTTTAACCTCATGCTCCATTTCCTAGAATTCTTTACCTGAGTAGAATGAGGTCACGTTCAATGTGAATTTGGACATGGCATTTAAAGTAATGAAATATGAAAATACAAATAACATCTTGCCTCATGTGCAGATCTGAAATGAAGTGAATCTCCCCAAAAGAAAAAAAATTGCATAATTCCAAAGTTGCATGTCATCTACTTAATTCATCCCAAGGTTTACTTGGATTCCAGAGAGGTCAGTCAGGCAATGCTATAAGAGAAAGGAGAGAGGGGAAGAAAACTGCAGACAGTGTGGGAGGAGAGGCTCTTGTTTGTGTGTTTTGAGGGTACAGTTTCAGGACCACCCTCAGGTTCAGCGGTTCAGTAGGACAACTCTGAGAACTCAGCAAACCTGCTGTACTCACAGTTAAAGTTTATTACGGTGAAAGGACACAGATTAAGATCAGTGAAGGGAAGAGGCACGTGGGGCAGAGTCTAGGAGAGACCAGCTGGGAGCTTCCAGTTGTCCTGTCCTAGGGAATTGTGCAGACAACTCTTAATTCTGCCAGCAATGATGTGTGACTATATGCAACAATTTTGCCGACTGGAAAAGCCCACCCCAGCCTTGTTCAGGTTTTTATTGGGGGTTGGTCACGTAGACGTGACTGACTGCCTGTGTGGCTGACCTTAGTCTCCAGCCCCTCCAGAGGTCAAGCTGATACCACATGACCCAGTGCCCCCAACACAAACCACATTGTTAATCTAGGCTACTGGCATGGCCCAGGTAAAGCAAGATACTCTTATTAGGCAGGATATTCCAAGGGCTTAGATGTTACTTTCCAGGATCTGGGCAAGGGCCAGACCTTTGTTTGGTCAAGGTGACTCCCCTCCTGCACAGTGGATAAACCAAGCAGTTGAAGAGGTCTGTGTGGGACACTGAGCCTGGGCCAACTGGGGCATCAAAGAAAATAATGCCAGTTGTTGATGGAGTCTCTGGAAGCCAGGTGTCTCAGTGGGATGTACACAGCAGGTTTTCTGGAAGGTCTGTGGGAGGCTGCCCATCAGTGCTTCCGTGACTGCCTCATTTCTTCACCAAAATTCCTTGCTACAAACTCAACTGAGAACTAGGTCTTAGCCCAGCTGGCTTTGTTGGGTATAATTTCTTTCTTTTTTTTTTTTTAAAAGATGACCAGTAAGGGGATCTTAACCCTTGGCTTGGTGTTGTCAGCACCACACTCTCCTGAGTGAGCCACGGGCTGGTCCTTTGTTGGGTATAATTTCTTTCCCTCAAAGGGCTTCTGATTTTCCTGTGTCTCAGTTTCTCTCTTGGCCTGTATTTCCGTCCATCTCCTCATCACATGGACCCCCAACCTGGCCTCTGTCCCTGCATGCTGATCCTGTTCTTGTCACCTTTTCTCTCCACAGCCCAGCGACCTTGACCTAGCCCCTCTTGGCTGACGCTTCATGACAGGAAGGACTGAAATGTCTTGTGGACACCTGGTCTTTCCCTGATGTTCTTGTGGCTGCCAGGTGGGGGCAGAGATTGATGCCCCTGGTCTTTGCCTCTTTGTGGGAGTGCGTGTGTGTCTTCCTCTGAATCTGCCTTTGCACAATGCCCTGCCCACCCTTCCTGTCCCACACTTTTCACCATCTCTCCTTGCATCTTGCTGTCTACCCTCCGGAGTTTGGGGGGGGGTCCTGCCCCAGGATTCCTTCTCAAGGGGAAACCAAAAAAGGGATCAGGAAGGGTGTGTCAGATTGTGGCAGTGTTCACAATGGTTCACTATTCAATAAACATTGGATGAGTTTAACTGAATGTGCTTGTGCTGGAATGTGTCCTGTTTTACCCCTGGAGCCTCCTGCCTTCAGTCCCCAGTCCCAGAAATTCATGACTGTGTGTGTGTTGAGTGCCCATAGTGTGCTAGGCCCTATGCCAGTAAGTAAGCACTTTAGGGCAACTCTGAGATTATGCAAAGGGGTAAGCAGGTGCAATGATGACGTTAATTTAAACAAACCCAGACTCCCAGATCCTTTGTTTAAATAAGAATCTTGCCATGGCTGCAAATTCTTTGACTCAAGTTATTGGTCTGCTAGGGCTGCCATAACACAATACCACAGACAGGGATGCTTAAACAACAGAAATGTGTTGTCTCAGTTCCGGAGGCCACAGTCCAAGATCAGTATGCTGACAGGTTTGGTTTCTCTGAGGCCTCTCTCCTTGGCTAGCAGATGGCTGTCTCCTTGCTGTGTCCTCACATGGTCTTTCCTCTGCATGCACATACCTGGTGTCTCTGTCCAAATTTCTAATTCTTGTCTTTTTTTGGAGTGGGGGGTGCTGGCCAGTACAGGAATCCAAACCCTTAACTTTGATGTAACACTGTACTCTAAACAACTGAGTTAACCAGCCAGCCCCCAAATTTCAAGTTCTTTTTGTTTTGTTTTTTTTTTTTGGCGACTGGCTGATAGAGGGATCCAAAAATTTTGACCTTGGTGTTACGACGCTCTCTCAAATGAGCTAACTGGACAGCCTGCCAGTTCTTATAAGGACACCAGTCATATTGGATTAGAGACGAGCCTAATGATCTCATTCTAACTTAATCACCTCTTTGAAGACTCCAAGTAGAGTCACATTCTGATGTACTAGGGATTAGGGTTTCAACATGAGTTTTGCAGGGGACTCCATCCCATAACAACACTAATCTCATTGAGGGCTGGGGTCTATGTCCCTCTCCCTGAATCCAGGGGGGCTTACGATTCCTTCCACCAACAGCGTATGGCAAAACTGGTGCTGAGTTAGCATCAGTAAAAGCCATACAGCTCCCAGACAATGCCTCCTGGTTGGGTGTGTTCTTCTCATAGTGATAAAAGAGGCACAGTAGAGCTTTGCAGACCTATATGCACATCGCTTCTGCTGACATTCCATCAGGTAAAGCTAGTCATGACTGAACCCAAAATCAAGGTGTAGTGCAATATACTAATATACTCCCTCTTTTTGGTGGGAGGTATGGCAAAATCATGGTAAAGCGTGTAGAAATGGTGGGGTCAAGAATTGGGACCATTCATTCAATCACCTGCTGGGTTTTGGCAGTCTGGACTCAGTTCTGAGGAGATTTGGCTAGACCTCCACGTTGAGTAGCAAATTATAAACCCAATTTGCCCCTTTAGGGGCTAACAGGTACAGTCAGAAGCAGGAACTCCTTACTGGCAAACAGGCCAGCCAAGTCTTGTATTGTCAAAGATTTTCTTGAATTTCTCTGGTTACCTTATTTCTAACAGGTCTGTAGGTTGTTCCAGAAGGTTATCCCATTGGCTATATGTTACAGTATTATTAAGATTATTAATACATACAGAGTTATAGTAATTGTAACTTGGTTGAATTTTTGGTGGTCAGCCACCCAAGGTTAAGGTGTCTCAGATACCATCAGAAGGTTCCTGTAACTATCACTGGTATAGTCCTCCATTTGGAAGTGAGTCCTTGATTCCTGTGTTTAGGAGAAGAACAGGCTAATTGGAGGAAGGTGCTAGATGGGTGGTGTGGTAGATTGTGTTTTGGGCCCCCATATTTCATGCTTCTGGTATCTGTGCTTTCCCCCTTTATAGCCCTCCCACTACAGGTGGATTATCCTTCCTTGCCTCTTAATTTTGGGTTTGACCAGATGACTAGCTATGGCTAGTCCAGTGAGGCAGAAGTAGCAGTGTGCCGGGCCGGCCCGGTGGCGCACTGGATAAGTGCGCCACTTGGGAAGCGTGGCGGCGCTCCCGCCCGAGGGTTCGGATCCCACATACAGACCGGTTCCCGCTCACTGGCTGAGTGAGGCGCGGGGGGAG